TCATGGGAAGGTGTAGTTAATCAGTAGCTCTCCAACCTGCCCTAACAGCCCCATGGGTCCACCAGACCCAGTGCTATATAGGAAAATGGAACAATTTCATATCTGCATCTGCACAAAATCTTTCCAAAACTAAACAAGTCAATGGCACTCTTTACCATGCTTTATTCTTTATTCATTTAGTGAACTCAGAGTTTCTCAAAAAAGTGTCCATCCCTGTATTTTTTCCATCTCTACTGTGTAAGCTAAATGGCACCCTAGCATCTAAACAGTACATAAATGTAATGTATGCAGCAGAGGAGAGTAAGCTTATTCTGAAATTAATAGAGGAGAGTAAGCTTATTCTGAAATTAATATAAGAAATAATAAAACATAGTTTTATGGTATCCTTCCTTCTGCTAACACTGAGATCACAATAAGTTTCATGACAAATCATCTGCTCTGCCATGAAGTGGAAACAAATGTTGGCTGGAACACACCTTTCACCTTTCAACCTAGACCAATAACACAAAAGCTGTGACCCCTAAGCTGAAGCCAGCTGCTTTTCTTGGTCATACAGCAGGTACACATGATACTTGAGTGCATTTTGCAGCATGAAAGGCGTTTTCAGTGGTCTGTAATGAGCAGAGTTGTGCAGAAAGCACATTTCCAGGTGTTTTATCACAGAACACTGGAGAAACCAGAGTATATTCCATATTGGGAGAGTTCAGGCATCTCCCCTGTGCTCGCTGCTCCCGCAAAACCAGCAGCACCCGGCCCAAACTTGGCAATGCTTCCAGCAACACATGCTTGTGCTTTTGGCAGAAGGGAGCTGACCACTTGCAGCATCAGTGTCCTTTGCCAGCTGGCCAAAGAGCACACAGATGCAAGGGAAGCAAATTATCTGCCCACTGGCAAAAAGAAATGCTGAACAGCACCTAAAGGGAACGTGGGCCCGTGCACGTGCGCTCAGTGCGAGCGAGGGTGCGTGTGAGCACACACCCCCACACCTGGGCCTTGGAGAGGGAGCAGCTCTGAGAGAAACTGCAAAAGCTGTCTGCTACTAGTCCTGAGGTATCACTTTCTGCAACACTCTCACAACAATGAACATGCACTTTTCCCATTAAAACCTCCCAAGCTGAATTTTTAGGATTAAACACAAGGACTGCAAGGATGCTAAAGTAAATTTTTACAAGTCTGAAATCAGACCCCTTCAAGAAAGTGCCAATACAACCACCTACAGGATTTCAGCAACCTAAGGTTAGCGTGCCTTTGCATCTTCTCTCTTTTTTTTGTCTCTTGAAAAATGAATGCTCATGAAAAAAAACCCACTACACATCTATATTTGGTAAAATAGAAAAAGCTTTCTGGATTAAGAAGATACATAAGAAAAAAACTCAGAAAAATTAATGGTACAAGAATTTGCAGCTGATAGGTTAGATTTAGCTAAGAGATGGAATCTATCTGTAGATTAATTAGATTCTACAATTACAGCCCCTTTTCATCTGCACACATCCCACCACTGTCATTACATGATCAACAGATTTTAAAGAAAACTATGCTTTTCATTAAAAAATGCTTTGAGAAATTCAAGGAAGACTATGCATAATGTTTAGTTTACTTTCCTATATATTTCTTGAAAATTGTACATAAGGCAAGTGCACATTTGTTGGCTGTAAAGGTGTACAACAGCAATTTTTTGCAATGACAGTGCAGAGAGGGAATATGAGATCTGTGTGCTAATGAGCTGACACTGCAGAGGCTGGAGCAGTGTTAGTATAGTGCACTACAAGTGCAGAGCAGAACCACAGACGTGGGTTATTTCTAGGGAATGTGATCTACAGAACTATACACACAATTCAACATTAACACCAACATCCTTCAGCAGATTATGAGAAATGCATGGGAGATATTGCTTCAGTGACAAATTTATATATTTGAGTTGTCATATTAATATTATTTGAAAAGGCTAGCTCACTCCCTACATGAGCATTTTAAAAGAAAATATAACCTGATTTTGATTTTAGAAATTCATAGGTCAAGTTAGCTTGCTTTCTGTTTCTACTGATAGCAAGAAACTGCACATTTTAAGAAATGTAATAATTTCCCTAGAGCCAACTGATAAACTTCAATTCACCTTTAAATACACTAGAATTTTCATCTGTGTTTGCATTTGTTCTCTGTTAAGATATCATACGGCTAAATAAATAAGTGGGCAGATAAATACAGAGTGGATAAATACTGTATGAATGTGTGTAAATTAAATATACAGAGAGAGGCTTGGTGCTAGCAGCAAAGCAGGGAATACATGTACATAAATCAGATTATGCATCATTTAACTGAAAAAGAAATGAGAGGGAGGGGCTTAGGGCAGGAATTTTCTTCTGCTTCTAAACAAGTTTGTTCCCAGGTTGAGATATTGCCAAATCTGCCGTAGCAGAGGTGGGCTATTTTTCTCAGGCTCATGAGAATACTTCAGAAGAGGTTTTTTTCTGCTCTGGAATGCACCAGATTGCATCAAACGGGATGTGCAGCTGCACAGTAAGAACCGAAGTCTTTCTGAGCAGAGCCCCTTCAATCCCTGCACACAGAAACACTTACTACAGTCATGATCATACAAATCAATGCAAAAGAGAATGAAAAATAATATTTTACGGATACTGACTAGTACAGGCACTAGGCTCAGGCTACACATGCTCCTTTCTTCAATTTCCTCTCAGCTCCTGTACCTATCCCACCACACAGTCAGCCTCAGCCTCCCTCCCCAGTGAAGGCAGAGTCACTGCAGGTTTCTCTCCTATGGAACCCTGCCAATTGCAAATATTGATCAAACGGCTGTGTGACAGCTCTGGAGACAATATATGCTTATCTCCAAGTGAGGCAAAAATGTTGTGGAAAGAATTCCTTCATGGATATGGCAGCACACTGACATTATCTGCCACTCCCATAAGAAATGAGGATATGGTTAAAGGCTGGAATTTTGGTTAGGTAGTGTGAGGAGCTATTAATTCATCCTAATGCATTGATACACATTAAGTGTTCTGACTTTCAAAGATAATTGGTACCAGATTCAAAAGAATAACTGTTCTGATGGGGGTTTTTTTGTATTTTCAGCTGCTGAAGCCTATGGCTGGTGACTTAGACTCACTGTATTCTTTTCTTATCAACAGTATTATGAGATGGTTGACACAGAACAGACAAGGTCACCTTTTCTTTCGTCTGTTTCTTTTTTCACATCTTCTGCTTTAAAATAGGTTACTGTAGGTACATCTTCTTTGGTTGACAGTTTCTCCAGAGATTTCAGTTTTCCCAGTTTTACTATACTGGTAATATGGGTGTTGGAACATGCAGCCCTGTACTACAGAAAACCATCCCACTATACTAAAATTGCCACAGCTTTTAATAAGCATTGACAAAAATCATTAGATGTCAGAAGATGAGTAGAACACTGACTAAATATACTGAACAAGTGTGTGGATCACTTCTGTTGGTGGGAGAAGAGCTGGTAACAACTTTTAAAAAACAATTAATAATTAATCACTCAAGCAGTTCAATGTATTTAGTTTAAATCCATATAATTGATATTTAGGAAACTGTGCTTGAGATGCAGCCTCTTGAAGGGATTACACTGATTAAGGATTAATAGTCTGATGTTTGTTGTAAGAGCTGTTGAAGCTGGATAGGATTAGTAAAATAAGATGCAAAGTAGAGACACACTTTTATTTACCATTTTTTCCACTTTACCAAGTATTTTTATTGTATATTACATAATTAACCCCCCTACAAAGTTTTAAAGGTTCTACTTCAAAGTCCTTTGGAGAGTGTAACACTGCACTACCAAGAAGCAGTCACATGGGGGATATGTTAGAATATCAATCCAAAATTTGTCCAAATATTTCCTTACTGTATATTTTTAACCATCAACTTTCTCAGAATATACAGTGGGACAGGAATGTAAGAACTATCCTATCTCCTGCAAATAAAAAAATAAATAAGTTATTCAAAACACGTAATTGTTTTAAAGCAAAAAATGCTATTTTTCTGTACTCAAGTACTTAATTATTTCAGTACAATGCTTCCTCTCTGACCATTTTACACTGTGAGTATAAACGTGCAAACTGTGAGAGGAAACCTGTTCATAATGTGAAGTTAGTACATTGCATTCAGCGGTCCATTAGATCATGTGCAGACATATATCTCCACATTGCAAAGTGCATTAGTTACCTTGGAAGAGGACTCCTTTCATTTTCAGTAATTTACAATAAAACTTGTATAGAATTGAACTTGGATACATCAGTAAAACAAATATCCAGGAACTACTATTGGTAAATGAATGCTTTTTAAAATGCAGAACACGCACGAGTCTTTCTGAAAGAGATTTTGCATCTTAACACCACATCAGCAATACTCAAAGTTCTATTTTGCATCTTCTGTTAATAAAAGCTCAAATTGTATGCGTGCACTGCTTGTACAGAGCTATTTCTCCTAATGCCAAGTGTTCTGATTCCATTTTCTCTCCCCTCAGCTCTAACAGTATGTGTCAGTTTACAGTCTCCTCAGCTTTGCACAGGACTCTCAGTGTAAGAAAACAAATCAGTATTTCAAGGCAGATGAGGCAAGTAAGCCCCTCTAGCCTTCTCCCTCTCAAGGTCACTTCTAAACAGTGGTTTCTGGTTTTTCCCTATATAATACATTATTTGCAAATTATGCCTTTTCACTTTCACACAGCTAGGTTGTAGCCTCAACAGAAAAGGGATCTTTCTTCATCAGCAATTCACTGATTGCAGCTACACAGCACTGCTACATCAACAACATGGTTGTTTTCCTGAAAAACAAAACTAAGGGGATGAGGTGGTAAGAGAACTTTTCCTAAGGTATTCCATATAATGCTGCAAATCTACTAAACCTCCAGTCACTACACACATTTGTTGCACTATACTGTATGACCAAGAAGAACCAGGAAGGAACTGAATGCAGGATAGATAACAAATTAATGTATTTTTTAAAACCAGGTATTTACTTACAAGCATTTGTCACTGAAAAACTGTTGGAAGAGTCCAAGTGATCTACGTGATAGTTCAAATGGAAGGGCTTTTCTGTGGTATTTTGGTTTGTGTTGTATAGCTGCACAGCAAATCGAAATGCACTGTGCTCCTGAACAGTGTTCCTCATGAAAAGTCCACCTAGGTGAGGAGAAAAAAATAAAAAGGAAAAGAGGAAAAAGGTATTTCAGAATTAATTTTGAGGAGAAACAATGGCAATAAGTTATATTTGCCTGCTGCACACTGCAGGAGAGAATGAACAGGAGCAGCCTGAACGTGAGCACATAACTCTGACAGAGCACTGACATGAAATACATATTCCAAGTCCAAAGTTAGGCTTTTAAAGCCACACACCACATCCAGGTGCCCCCTGAGCAATGAGAATCGCTTGGAGCTGCAGGTGCACCTTGAAAACCAGGCCACTTCTACACGGATGCCCACACAGAGATTTAAAAGTCTAACTTGGGGAACCGTAGCTCCTAAATCTTGTCCAGACTACCAAAATATCGGCACCGTAGTTATGTGCGGGGACTCGGCGGCGTGCGGCGTGGCAAACGTGCGGTTTCACGGTCTGGTGGAGCGATAGCGCGGCCGAGGGAAATGATGCTCCGAGGGACGGCAGGGAACAGCCCCCGCTTCACTCGCTGCCCTGAGCCTCACGGCTCGCTCGGCCCCGGCTTTCGGGCACGTCGCTACAGATTCACGCCACGACTCTCTCACATTATGTGCTCCACGGGATGCGCTGCTCCAGGGCACGGTTCCGCAGAGCGCGGACCCGATCCCCGCCGCCCGGAGGGGTGCGGGCAGCCCGGCGCCGCTCGCAGCCGCCCGCCGGCGCAGCCCGGGCACCGCCGCTGCCTCTCGCCCCCGAAAAGGGGCACGAAGCGGAGCAGGGCTGGCTCCTTCCCCGCTGCGCCCGGGCTCGCCCCCCGCTCCCCTCCTCACAACTTCCCCGCGGCTGGCGGGGAAGGCGCGGGTCGCGGTGCCGCGGCGGGCGCTTACCTATACTGATGGTGTTGGGGAACCCCGCCAGAGCCTCCCCCAGCAGCCCCGCCAGCAGCAGCAGGAGGGTCCGGGGCGCGCTCTGCCCCATTTTCTTCAGCCCCTGCGGTTCAGCCCCTAAACCGAAACTGGCGGCACAGGCATGGGCGCAACTGGAGACTCGGAGCGGTGTCAACGGCGGTGGCGATGCTGGCGGAGGTGGTGGGGAGGATGGTCCCCCTCCTTTCGTCTCTTTTTTTTATTCTTTCCTTCCCCAAATCCCTCTGCTCTCGTCTTCACCCCAGTCTAGCAGGGCTCATTGGCTGCGAGATTGCCTTTCTCCCCCGTCGCCAGCAGCCCCCCCCCAACGCAGGGACTTCCCCCAAAGATGGTGGGTAGCGGAGCCGCCGAGGCTGCTCCGCCCGGGCCGGGAGGGGGTTATCGATCAAACTTGGCGTGAGGCGGGCTGGCAGCCCTCCGCTCCGCTCCGCTCCGCTCGGCCCGCCCGCCCAGCCCCGGCGGCTCCGGCCGCGGCTCAGCGCTCGGGGCTGCGGTCGGCAGGAGCGCACCGGCCTCACGTGGGGCGGCCCCCGGGCTGCAGCTGCCCCTTTAAAGCTGCATCGGCTCGATGTGTGTGTGTGTATGTGAGAGAGAGTGCGGTGCGTGCGCCTGTGGGCGGGCGGGGGAGGGAGCGGGGAAAGGAAGGAGGGGCGGGGAGCCGAGCCGAGCCGAGCCGAGCCGCGCCGGGGCCGGCAGAGGAGGCCGGGGGTGGTGGCGAGGTGCCCGTGCCCGATGCGGGCGCCCCAGAACTTGTGAGCCGGGAGGCAGCAGAGGCGGCTCGGGGCCGGGGGCAGGAGGCCTGGTGATGGCCGGGGCAGGCGGGTGCCGCTGGGCCCCTCCTGAGGGGACAGGGCTGGGGAGAGACGTGAGCGCAGGGGATGCTGAGGGAGGGCTGGAAGGGGCCGCAGCCAGGGATGCCGAGGGACCGTGCGCTCTCCCGAGGGGGCTGCCGGCCCTGCGCCCGAGTTCTCCCCATCCCTCCTCCAGTGCCAGCGCATCAGCAGGGAAGCATCATCCGCCCACAGTGCTGTGAAGTGAAGAAAGACAAGAAGAGTTGAATCCCACACGAGGGAATGTTAGGTCCTTCCCAACCTCCTCTAAAGGAAGGAACTCATATAAAGTCTCCCCGTTTCATCCTTGATGCTGAAAAAGACACAAGGTGTGTGTCAGCTGACGAGCTGCCCCAGCACCGAGCACACGGCAGGGCCAGCCTGGTGTCGCAGGGGAGCAGGGGGACGGGTGGTGGACATCCCAAGTGTCTTGAACACCAGCCCTGAGACGCCCCTCATATCCACAGGGAGCTGCTGTGCGTCTGCCTGAGTCAGGTTCTCTGTGGTCTTTCACCCATCTCCTTGACACTGTGCTGTACGGATCCTACTGGGCTTTTCTTTTTGCTGCTTTGGGGCTCACAAAACTGTACAAAATGGAGACAGAAAAGCAATGCTAGGTAGAGTTGTCCATCTCATAGGCCTAGCAAAGACTGTTCTTCCCTTAATATTTGCTTTTCCTCTGATTTCAGCAGGTCACTTTACCTTGGTGCTTCTCTGCTTCTTTTTTTTTTATCTTAAGCTTAGACTGTGGCATTATTTGGGTCAATGTTCTACCTTGGTGCTGCTCTGCTTCTTTTTTTTTATCTTAATCTTAGACTGTGGCATTATTTGGGTCAATGTTCAGTTCAGTTAGGGATAATATGAAATGCAGTTGCCTTTGCATTTGTGAAATAATCAACCAGTGCCACTGGCTGTAGCACCACGTAAGTAGTCAAGGTGTGAGATTGAAGATTGCTGCAGATTACTGCACAAATGCTGATGAAGAACAGAGATTCAAACCATTACTTTTGAAGGAAGCCAGAAGTAGAGGTGAAGAGCAGGGCACCACATTCATGATGCAGGAGTGTAACACATGCTTTTAGTGGCATGTGTGACACCTGCTCACTCCAATGTGCATGCATTGGTTGCTTCATGTGTTCCTTTATGAGAATCATTCCCAGAGGATGGAGACTGTTCCAGTTCAGGCAGAGTAGGGATCAGGCTGCAGGGTGGATGGTATTGTTCCCTATTTAGATTGAGATGGCAGTTGTCACTTTATCTCTCTTTTTAAATAAATGGTTTTCTGTGTGGACAGGTAGGGTATAAGGTCCATGATTGTATGTATAGCACTCCTCAAGCTCAAAGCCCTTAACACATATTACTTATAAATTACTTATGAATTACTGTGAGCATCCCCATAAGGCATGATTATATTCTTCTTTTATAAATATAAACATTTAAAAAAACAAGGTGAGAGCCACTGGCCCAGCTCACCTAACCAGGAAGTTTCAGGCCCAGAATTAGCATCTTGAGGAGCAGCTTGGCTTTGCTGTAGAGCACTCTGCTCACAAATGTCTTTTGGTAAGGACAGCAGATCTGAAAGCTACAGACAGGTACAGGAAGTTTAGACATTAAGGACAGTTGTCAGAAACATGTTCCTCTTAGCAAATAATTTCTCTGTCTTGTTCCAAATTACTTACCTTTCCTATTCTACACACCTCCAGCCTATTTCTAATGTCCTGCTGTCTTTTTTTTTTTTTGTCTGCTTTGCTAGTGGCCCTACTTTCTTCCTGTTCACTTGCTCTTGCAAAGTTCTCTCCATCTCTGCAGCTAAGTAAGGCTGACGGCCACCTGCCACACTGGCAGCTGATGGTGCACTGAAAAAATTATGAAAGAAATTATATATAACATTATAGATGTTAGAACAAGGGAGGAGATAAAGTGAATGAATGAATGTGGCATGTGTCAGAGTCTCAGTTTCACACACTGCCAGCAGGGTGGGTAACTTGTCTCCAATAAAATGGTGCTTCACAGTCTAATCTACAAATGGACAGTCTTGTCGTGATCTAAAATATATCTGTGCTGAGAGACAAATTTCCATTATCACCCACATTCTACCTTCTGAAGCCCCTTACGTGTTGTTGTTGTTATTATTCTCATTAGCATTTGGAATGTGCAGTTTGCCTTTTTGTTTATGCATTAGCCTTATGGCACGATTAGCAGGTACAAATGGCACAAAATCCATATGGATTTTGGAGAAATCCAGAGACCTCATCCCAGTTTATCTTTCTTACAGTGAACCCAGTGTGTCCTGGGACAAAATGGTAGATTACTTACCTTTATGTGGATATCAATGCCATGGAAATATTTTATACACTTTGCTAGGGATGCTCAGTGACTTGAATTAATGAGTTCTGTGGTAACTGAGGCCATACCAGATGCTTTCCCAAACCTTCTCTTACTAAATACAACCAAGATTTTGCAGCATAATCAAGCTTCATGTTTAGATGATTTATAGTGTTCTGGGACACTGGGGATTCAGAGTATCTACCTGAGCGGGAGAAGGTAATGATTTATAATTAGCTAATGTGTTTTCATTGTGATGTCTAATAGTGGATTAGAAAAATGCTATGGAATTTGGGACACAGCGTTCTCACTGTGCTTTCTGATGTTAGTAGGCTAAACCCATAGTGTTAGCATAAAGTCATGGCAGAATCTACAGCAGGATTCTGTTGAAGCTTCACCCTAACAACACTAAGCAGACATTATTACTTTTGTCATTCCTATTTCTAATTGCAAGGGAGAAGCTCAGGCAGAGAGATTCTAACTAATATTTTGTTTATCCCAGCGTGAACCAAATCACGTCATAATTGCTAATAAATGTATTATCAAATGTGTCTTACACCTTTTTTTGTTTGGTTGTTTTAAACCAGTTATTTCTTCATGAATGTAATGGACACACAACTAAACAATCTTTATGTCAGTGTCAGCATTTTGATTAGCTAAACTGATTAATTCTATAATAGACAGTTAACAGATAGAGTGACAGTGGGGAGAGACAGAAGAGAAGATGAAAAGGGATTCAGGGACAAGATGAAACTACAGATAGAAGGAGTCAAGGGGAAAGTACAGTGTCAGAAGGGAAAATGAATACAGACATTACAGCTTCATTTTGGAAAACAGGTCAAAAGGACATCTAGTTAAGATCTGATTATGAGTGGCCATAGAACAAACTATTGAAGCTCTCCTGTTTACCTTTCATTACCAGGCAATAACAGAGACATAAAATGAAATTAGAAAGCTGCAGACGAGAGACAGTTTAACAAATATTCTGCTGTGCGGTTTACAGCTAATCTATAAAGCTGTCTTCTACACAATATTCTTGCCAAAATAATTGTTTTTAAAAGTTGGAAATTTTATGTGAATTAGCAGAGTAAATGCATTAGTCTATCTAGTAAAACACTGTAGGGATTAATATTCAGAATTCATTGTAAAAAAGATGTTTCTTGCTGCCTCGAGAAAGACTTACTCTTCTCATTATGAGAGTTTACAGTATGTCTAAAGTTCTCTGAAAGTTACTTTTTGCTGGTTAGTTTTAGAGACAGGCTCAGAGACTACTTGAATCATTGTTTTGTTGTTATTCATTTTCCCAAAGAACAGTTAACAGGTGAAATCCTAAAACCACAGAGATGTGTAGTAGGTTTATCACCCCTATCATTGGAGCTAAGATTGTACCAGATACATCCTGGCAGAATAATTGGGTCTGGCACATTAGAATATGTTTTAATACATGGAAGAATGATCAAGATTTGTATAGGAACAGGGTCAAAGAGGAAACTTGTTCATAAATAAAAGTCATTACTCCATTACTGGAATCTATTTCAACTTTAGGTAGCAGAAGCGAATTAATCCAGCAGCTTTTATCAGAACCATACATGGACTGTAACCATAATAACATATCAATTACAATTGCACAACTAAGACACAAATGTGGAAACAGTCAGTATGGACATATATCTTCATATTTCTTGGGTTTGTGGTATCGTCAGGATACATCCTTCTAATTCTAAGAGCTATGGAGCTGTGCTGGAAATGTAGTGTTATTATAGTGCCATAATGTCAGAAACAATTTATATTACCTTCTGCTTTCCGATTAACTGTACACTAGGCACTGCTGGCATAACACAACCCTGCAATTCTTACTTAAATCTGTACTTTGCTGTGCTCATCTATATTTATTACATCAGGAAGCAGTAAATCAAATAAAAATGTAGTGGTATCCCCTATATAATATTAATAAAGTGGATACTCTCTTTTTATGTTATACCTATGAATACAGTTTTCAAGAAATCTTGGGCATTATATTCAATTCATACCCATTTCAATTGTGAAACATCTGATGACTGAATATTTAATTTTTGTACCTAATTACTGAAATATATTCTTAAAGAGAATCTAGTTTAGATCCAAGTAGTGAATAATCACTTCAGTTAACTGCCAATCAAAAGTTTGTTTTCCTACCTGTGTGCATTTATATATTACCAGAATTTACCACATCTCAGCTCAAATCTGCAGAAGTGTCTTCTAGTGAAAATGTCTTTGGAAAACAGCACACAGATTCTTAGAAATAGATGTTTAGGCAAAAAGGATTTAAAATTTTCACTAGAGGTTTAAGGATTTCTGATTTTTCTTTTCCACTTGATCAGAGATTCCTATCCTCCCCTAAGCCAGCAGTCTGGTACTTAAA